AAGCGAGAGAAAGAAAGAGAGAAAAGAGAAAGAGAGAGAGAGAGAAAGAAAGGAGAGAGAGAGAGAGAGAGAGAGAGAGAACGAGCCAGAGAGAGAGCGCGCACTAGATCCGAACGATGAAGAGATAGGCAAGCAATTTGTGATTTTCTGCATATTCGCACTTCGATTTCTCGTCGGCCCCGTAAACGAACCTTATTGTGACAGCGTCTGTCGGCTTAAGTCATGGCGGCGACGTCCGCGGCGTCTGCTGATGATTCAATCGATGACACGGCCCGTGCACACGTACGCCGCGCCATATATATATATATAATATATATATATATAATATATATATATNCGTGTGCGTGTGCGTGCGTGCGTGCGCGTGTGCGCGTGCGTGTGCGTGTGCGTGTGTGTGTGTGTGTGTGTACATGCGTGTGTGTATGTGTGTGTATGTATCTTTGTGTGTGTATATATCTTTGTGTGTGTATATGTGTGAGTGCGTATGTGAGTGTGCGCGGCGCGCTTGTGTGTTTCTCTGTGTGCGTGTGTGGGCGGGTGGTTAGTTGTATGCGTGCGTGCGCTCGCGCCTGTGAACGGTCGGTCTTATTATCTTACAAGACGCGATACCTCACCGATATGTCACGACAACTAAAATGGGAAAAATAAGCACCCAGCGCGTGTGCATTTTTTTTCTTTTTTCTCTGGCTTTAGATGCGAAAAAAGCTTTCGAATTGCCAGTGAAGAAATTATTACGTAATAGCGGGATGAGGTTTCAGCGCAGACTAACAACCGTGTCGCTGCAATAGCCCGTGGCTTCGCATTCTCTGCACGCCCGGTGGGTGCATTATGTAGTTTCCAGACGCGTATCTACGATTTCTTGGGGAGTGAATGTGAGATCTCTTTCAACTGACATTTCGCGCTTGCTGTAAGCTTCCGTATCTGCCAACGAGGCTATAACTAATTACCTGACAAACACAATATTCAAGCTAGCTCCGTGCGCGTGTGTGTAGTGTATGTGTGTGTGTGTGTGTGTGTGTGTGTGTGTGTGTGTGTGTGTGTGTGTGTGTGTGTGTGTGTGTGTGTGTGTGTGTGTGTGTGTGTGTGTGTGATGTGTGTTGTGTGTTGTAGGTATCGAGTGTGGTTGGTGTGTGTGTGTGTGCGGTGTGTGTGCGTGTGCGTGTGGCGTGTGCGTAGTGCGTGCTGCGTGTTCGTGTGGTGTGCCGTCGTGCGTGTGCGTGTGCGTCGTGCGTGTGGCGTGTGCGTGTGGTGGCGTGTGCGGTGGGTGTGCGTGTGCGTGTGGGCTGCAGCGTGTGTGTGTGTGTGTGTGTGTTGTGTGTGGGAGTGTGTGGTGTGTGTGTGTGTGTGTGTGTGTGTGTGTGTGCGCGCGCGTGTGTGTGTGTGTGTGTGTCGTGTGGAGTGTTATAGCACACACATGTATTATCACTTTTAGTATTACTGAAACTGTACCTGTACAAGTCTTATCTACAAACCCATCAAAAGCGGATATGATACAGAGCTTCTTCAAAAGGGCATTGATAAGCTAGTTCAATGGTCCAAAAACTGGCAAATGTCTTTCAATCCAAAAAAAGTGCACAATAAAGCAGACCTATACCATGATGGGAACCAAGCTCAAAAAAGAGAAACATCACCTCTACTTGGCGTGGAGCTCACTGATGACTCTTTTGGTCTACCCACATCAGCCGGTCGAAAGGAAAGGCAACCCGGCCCTAATTTCATCCGCAGGAACCTTGTAGGATGCCCAGAACCTATCAAAGAGATGGCATACAAAGCATGGAGAGATTTCCACTTCCCATGAGAATACGGCACTGATCTCTATAATATAATATATTATATTATATATTATATATATATTATATATTATATATATAATATAATTATATTATAGAGATCAGTGGAATACGGCCATCTCGTATCCATCCATTTATATTCGCCTAAAACATTAACGAAATTGGTTTGAACGTTATCCGAAAGGTGGCGATGTAATCGATGTAAACATGGCCGGTCGCGTACGTGTAGAGTCGAGAAATGTCGATGGTGCTGGAATGAATACCAAACAGAATACGATGGGAAGGTTTTCAAAGGGGTATTTGGTGCTTTACAACATCGCCATGGCGTTTGGATGGGCTGCTATAGGCCTTATGCTGATACGCCATTACGTATACGAAAGAAGTTACTTCGGCCTGTACCGGTCCGTCGAACCTCTACTAAAAGTCTTCCAAACTGCAGCCGTTTTGGAAGTGGTGCATTGCGCGGTGGGACTTGTACGCTCCTCCGTGTATCTGACGGCTATGCAGGTCTACTCTCGCGTGTTCTTGGTCTGGGGCATCATCGTGAGCGTTCCCGATGTAGGGGACAAGGCTGGCATAGTGGGATGCTTAACTGCATGGACGGTCACTGAGGTCGTTCGTTATTCCTTCTACGCCTTCACGCTGGTCGACGCTCTACCCAGAGCACTGCTCTGGTGCCGCTACACGTTGTTCCTGCCGCTGTACCCGATTGGAGTGACAGGCGAGCTCTTAACCATCTGGAACGCACTGCCAACCTTGCAACGTACACGCATGTACTCCATTGAGTTGCCGAATGCTGCGAATATTTCCTTCAGTTACTATTACTATGTCTTGTTCGTGTGTATGTCATATGTACCTATTTTCCCACAGCTTTATTGCCATATGGTAAAGCAACGCAGAAAGGTGCTCAATGGTAAAATGGACTGAGTTATAATTATGCGATCATGGGACAACTCATTGTAGGCCGTAGCATTCATAATTTATATAAAGGCCGTGGCTACGTGACCGGTTCCGGACGAGGAGCCACTGCGTTATATAAAACCTGGGATGGCTGAAAATAGGTTACTTGTCTCTAGGTGCTTTAACTACCAAATACTGTACACAGTATTAATACTTTGATTATTCCTAAACAGTGAATACATTTTGTTTTGGATAATTGTATCATCTTGATTTTAAGT